TTACATACATTTATTGTTACATATACGAATTGTTACATAATTTGGATTAAATATTTCACATGTATACTCTCGACCCATGTCTTCCTAATCTTAAGGTTTTCACATGTATACTCTCGACCCATGTCTTCCTAATCTTAAGGTTTTCACATGTCTACTCTCGACCCATGTCTTCCTAATTTAAGGTTTTCACATGTCTACTCTCGACCCATGTCTTCCTAATGTTAAGGTTTTCACATGTCTACTCTCGACCCATGTCTTCCTAATCTTAAGGTTTTCACATGTCTACTCTCGACACGTCTTCCTAATGTTAAGGTTTCACATGTATACTCTCGACCCATGTCTTCCTAATCTTAAGGTTTTCACATGTATACTCTCGACCCATGTCTTCCTAATGTTAAGGTTTTCACATGTATACTCTCGACCCATGTCTTCCTAATGTTAAGGTTTTCACATGTATACTCTCGACCCATGTGTTCCTAATGTTAAGGTTTTCACATGTTTAACTATCAAACTTAGCATTTGTTCTATCCTTGGTTTGAGGAATATATAATTTTAAGCATATGCAAAAGAAAAAATGGACACAGCAAGACGTTAACTAAGCCTTTATTTATCTGGTGTATTACACTAATTTTTTCTAAAAAAAAACAAAAAAAACGGCGCATTGCCGACAATTAAATCCTTATATTCAATGAAATATTTACTAGATTAATTGTTACAATAAACAAAAAAAATTAGAATTAACTATAATCTTGGCATCTCTTCAATAATATTTACAGTGATTGTAAATGTATTCTGTTGTACACTGAAACACTTTATACTGTAATGTAATTGTTGGATAAGTACTGTATAGAGTGTTCAGTAACCTAGAAATCCTAAAAACCAGTACGATGTAACTTATCATGTACTGACAGAAACATAAGACACCAGCAAGATGTAAAACATGACATAACTTGTTTAGATAAGAAACCAGCAAGATGTAACCCAACATGACATAACTTGTTTGGATAAGAAACCCAAAAACCAGCGAGATGTAACCCAACATGAAATGTTTGAATAAGAAACTCAGAAACCAGCAAGATGTAACCCAATATGACATGTTTGGATAAGAAACCCAGAAACCATCAAGATGTAACACAACATGACATAACTTGTTTGGATAAGAAACCCAGAAACTAGCAAGATGTAACACAACATGATGTAACTTGTTTGGATAAGAAACCCAGAAACCAGCAAGATGTAACCCAACATGACGTAACTTTTTTGGAAAAGAAACCCAGAAACCAGCAAGATGTAACACAACATGATGTAACTTGTTTGGATAAGAAACCCAGAAACCAGCAGGATGTAACACAACATAACATGTTTGAATAAGAAACCCAGAAACCAGCAAGATATAACACAACATGATGTAACTTGTTTGAATAAGAAACCCAGAAACCAGCAAGATATAACACAACATGATGTAACTTGTTTGAATAAGAAACCCAGAAACCAGCAAGATGTAACCCAACATGACATAACTTGTTTGGATAAGAAACCCAGAAACCAGCAGGATGTAACACAACATAACATGTTTGAATAAGAAACCCAGAAATCTGCAAGATGTTACACAACATGAGAAGCAAGATGTAACACAACATGACATGTTTGAATAAGAAACCCACAAACCAGCAAGATGTTACACAACATGACATAACTTATGCTGTTTTTGAACTTCTGATTATTTAGGTTTCCCATGTAACACTCCCATATGAGTGACAACTGTATTTGTATTTATCTGCTGCCCTTCCTAATTTTGAACTACTGACCACATGAAAAGCAACCAGTCAACAGCACCCTACCACCCACACTAAGGGATTGACTGTTAGTCTTATAATGTACCCACAGTTTAAAGTGTGGTGTATCATACAAATTCAAACCCAGGCTCACCAGCTTCAAAACCTAGAGTGCCATGACAGAGCCAACCTGTACCCCAACTGTAAGAAAACTATTGCCAGCTCCATTAGCAAAACAGAACAGGTACACTACCTCCATATAAAGTATCATCCACTAAGGATGGAAAAATCATGTTTTTACTGCTACTGGGTGAGTTTCTTACAGCAGTCACACTGAAAATCATGTTTTTACTGCTACTGGGTGAGTTTCTTACAGCAGTCACACTGAAAATCATGTTTTTACTGCTACTAGGTGAGTTTCTTACAGCAGTCACACTGAAAATCATGTTTTTACTGCTACTAGGTGAGTTTCTTACAGCAGTCATACTGTAAAAGTTTAATGAAGTTTGAAAGGAAAGGATTTAAAAAAATTATATTTCAATCAACTTAAGAATTTGAAATAGTGGCTAAATTTTTACGAGTTCAAATCAATAACAGTGTTCTAATTATGACTCAATGCAATTCATTAAACATTTCAAAGTCCTTCAACTAATTCATGTTATCTCAACTTTTAATAAATATATATAGTACAGTTACTTAGTCAGGTCTCATTTAATTAGTGTTGCTGAACTGTATTAATTACATAATGTACATTTTGTGTTACTTTAGTCTTACATTAAAATGACTGGTTACATTCCAAATTTATAAACAAACAGGAAGATGCTGCCTGTTCAAGGTGATCACATTCTTTCAAAACAATTTTCCTTGACTTTCAAGATAAAAAAATACCAGATTTTTCCAGCCTTCACAAGTTCACATACAACACACAGATATCTGAGTTTTCCCTCATAATTCCAACTAATCCAGCTTGTAATCTAGTAATAAACAGTAATAAAAACGTTGGGCATATTTACTTCAGACTACAGTATATTAAAGAAAAAAGATCTTTAAGAATTCAACTTGACAATAGAAAAAAATGTTGAATTTTATCTATGAAAATATATTTGATCTAACCTTTCATCATGTATAATAAATTAGATACTTATCACCAAAAACAATTGCGGAGTTCCTGACCAAGATCATGTTCAAATATACCAATAACTGGCATAGATAACCTATAAAATTTCCCCAACTTTATTCAGGTACGTGGCCAGCCAGTGATACTATATCATTAGAACAGGAACTGTCAATTTCATGCTGTTTAAATTATCTTTAAATCAGCCAAAACCTTTCTGAAATTAACAGAAGATTCTGAGACGACCACTGCACTTTTCCACCAAAATTCCCTTGCCACAACAGCAGCTTTAAAGTACATTCATAATAGTTAAAATACACTAAGAGCCCAAACTAATTTTGGTATATCCCATTCAAAACATGTAAAAAAGGTGAAATACTAATGCTTTTGACAGGTGGACCCCATCTTTCTTCGGGAGTAAAAAAGTGGAAACTTTTGAAGTATATTCAAAACACTAAGGTTTTGCAAGTACCTACACTTTCAACAAGGTAACCTTTTAAAAATTAACTTCACAAACTGCAATCTCTACAAAATAAAAACAATTTTATGAACTCTTACCTTATATTCTTTAAACAGATACAGGAAAGTTTTGGAAACTATAAAGCTTATAAAATACAACTTAATGTTTTTAAACTAATGAAGTACATACAATTACACACATAAGCTGATTAAATTTCCTTCAACTTTAGTTTTAATAAACAGAAATAATAGTTATTCGAAAGTTGGAACATACTTTCTCAAAACTTTTTACGTTCTTACTAAAAGAAACGGACATCTTTTGACAAATTGTGCTTATTGTGGGGACTTTGAGATTGTAGATAAAATGAGATATTACTAAAAACCCATGACCAATTCAATTTCCATTCTAATAGTATTACTAGCATAATGCATCACTGGGGTGTTATTTAAAGAACATTCTGCACAAACATAGCTAACATCGATTTTTTTTTTTCTGTCACCTTGATGACAAAGTTTTAGCTGCCTGAGCATACTGCCATATATTTTATGCTTAACACAGGAGTGTTGCAATACTTAAACTTTGTTTGTATTGTATACAAGTGTGAGGATACATTATTTTAGGCTGAACACAGGAGTGCTGCAATCCTTAATTTTTGTTTGTATCGTATACAAGTGTGAAGATACATTATTTTAGGCTTAACACAAAAGTGTTGCAATCCTTAATCTTTGTATTGTATACAAGTGAGGATACATTATTTTAGGCTTAACACAGAAGTGTTGCAATACTTAATCTTTGTATTGTATACAAGTGAGGATACATTATTTTAGGCTTAACAAAGAAGTGTTGTAATACTTAATTGATGTTTGTATTGTATACAAGTGTGAGGATGACATTATCTAAAGCAGAAGTTCTCACCATTTCTTTTTTTATACTTAAGCAGAAACTTCTGGCATTTCTTTACATACAGAACCAACATCTCGAACATAATACAATCTTTCAATTTGGTGATCTTAATCCTCATTAACAAAGTACAGCATTAATTTCACAGGAAAATATCACAAGTTTTTGTTCTAACTAGTCTCATTTACAGAAGAATCTTAGCACAAACTAAAGAGTAGAGCTACTTCTTACAAACTTTCTATCCTTTCCATGTTAGAGTTAAGAGGGATTTACATTGAAAGTCGATCCTCTTATTCATCTAGTCTTTCCACAGAAGGCATCATTTAGAAGATTCATACCAAACACCTTTTTTGGTTATGCAGGTCTTTTTATACAAATGATCTAATTCTCTCATCTTTAATATAGACCGTAGAAAAGATGTACCATAACTTTATAATCAATCTGCTCTTATTACTGCAAAATGGTTCTTTTAAATTGATTGGCAAAGCACAAAACTTCTTAAACAACCTGGCTTCTTTCAGAGGCGCAATATCTTAAACCATAAAAAACAATGACTTCTTGATTTGACTGTCTTCTGAATTGAGAACTAAAGTACAAGAAAATAACTGAACTTGTTAATTAGACAGCTTTGTTTTTATTATCTGTATGAGTAAAATAGCATGACTTTCTAATATAGGCATCCTTCTCATTAAGATCACATCTTATGTTTAAGCCCATCAAGAAAACACACACCCTAATAAAGTAAAGGTAAGTAAGGATGGCACAATGTACTGGTGTTGATATTGGACAATTTAACCAAGGTATGTCTACACTAAACTGACTTGAGGTGCAATAACCAATCTAGATGGAGAACTTCAACACAAAATTATGGGATCCGTAATCACAAAAGATATATGAATTGTCACATTAATGAACAATCTTTAAGTTTAAGTAGTCCATGTAAGGCAATTTTGCATGAGTTGGCTCTCTTAAAAAAATCAATGAAATCCACAAGCTTAAATCTGGTTCTCAACACAAGGAATTCCTAAAAACACACTTCTGATGTACAACCAATCAAAGATACTAAAACAAAAAGAATAATACATGAAATCTCTCAAACATAATAAACCAAAAAGTCTTTGATGAAAATAATAAATCCAGAAAGTCACGTTCAAATTCAAGTAGATGAGTTACAGTATTGAGTTCACGGTGAATACCACAGTTAAGAGATTTTCAATAATGTGATGGATAAGTATCTTTAAAAGAAAAACTTAGCTGAAAAATTAATCTTTAAAACGAAAGAGTAAATGTTTCCAAATCATATTTGTTCACAAAATTATATCATAATTTGTATTTATTCCAAAGCTTCTAAGGCTATCTGCTACTGTTCCTAATTTGAAACTAGTGGCCAGAAGGAAGACAGCCAGGGAGTATACTCCAACCACCCCTGCAAAGAAATTGACTGTCACTCTTATAATGCAACACAGCTTAAAGTGTTGAGAATATCTTGTGGTATCATGTGGATTTGATCAAGTCTTGTCAGCTCTAAAATCAAGAGCTCTACCACAGAACCAACGAGCACCCAATGGAACATTGAATCTCAAACATTGTATGTAAGAGCTGTGCATTAGTTATGGTAAATATTCCACCAACAACAAATACTTAAGACAGAAACCCCTCTAACATGTACTAGACTATTACATTTAATGTTTTACAAGGTTACTCTAACATCATACAATGATTTCGGACCAAAAAAAAAAAACTTGAAAGTTTAATTTTGAAATAAATTCATCTATCATACATGGCACACATGTCAAACTCACAACTAGTAATGAAAAACAATTTCTCATCATTCCCTCTTCCTTTACCACATATATGAGCATAGTACTCCTTTTTAAGTCTAGAATATAAACTTAAAACTCAATATTTTCCACAGGAAAGAATCTTCAGTAAATACATTAACTAAAGTCTTATGAGGTTTAAAAATATGTTTACATGATTACAATAAAATTGAAAAGTTAGATATCTATGAACGCAAGTTTTTTTTTGTGGGGAAGTAAAAACTAAACAGTTTATGATTTAGGTGGATGGATACGTCTTCTGAAGCTGCATGTCTTCATTTGCTTGTTCTTTTTTCTGTTGGTTTGGTCTGAGCATCTAAAGATAGGAAAAAAAGTTCCAAACAATAATTATTTTCATTCTTTCTCAAAAACCTTCAAGAGTGTTATAGAAAATACTTAAGTATTTTAAAATGAAAAAAATAACTTAATTAAATTAAAGTTATTGCTTAAATTTGTATACACAGAGAATTTTATATTTCTAAATTATAGATGTAAAAAAAATTATAATCCTTAAAGACTACATTGCAAAGGTATGAAAGAAACATTTCGACATAAATCTAACATTTTATAAACTTTAATATCTTAAAAGGTTAGAAGCCACTGAAAAACTAAATGTTTGTAGTTCAAATATAAACATTGCACCTTTTGTAGCTCATATATAAGCATTAACTTCTATAATTCAGCTATTAGTTAGAGATATTACAGTGTAGATACTGTGCTATAAAATATTCATGTTAGGCTTACTTGTTACTTTCAACACTATCCTCACTGTCTTTGTTTAAAAAATGTTTTTTTTACACAAGTTTATTTTAAATACTAATTTTTTGATAACATTCAAATATTAGGTAAAGTAAATGATGTGTGAATCTGAAATTAAAATTTTAGGAGGCAAGAAATGAAGCATGGAAAGTATCAGGCTGTGAAAGGCTTACTCTCAATACTGTTCAAACCAGAGAGTCAATCACTAAGCCTAGGCGCTGAATACTTAAACTTGGTCTTAAACAAACTGTAATAAAAAGAGAAAATAAAAGTTAATACCTGTTTTTCTTGAACCTTGAATTTCTTCAGAAGTTAGTGATGTCATATGGCTGCTACTTGTAGTAATTTCTTTTAAATTCTGGTTAATTCCTACAAAAGGTCAAGAGAAATGAAAGTCAACTGTTTTGAAAATTATGATAGATGAAGACAGAACCAATAAAGAAAAATTACTATATTGAAAACTTTACTTTTTATAATAAAATAAGCACATTAGACTAAAAATATTCAGGATTTATAAACATTTTCATTCCATACTTGTGTTTAGCAGTATGCTGTGGTGTAACACGCGGCTAATTAGGTTATTAGGCCTAACAAATATGATGAAAATTGTTTCACAGCAGATGTTTTTATTCTATTTTTCTTAATTAGTTCATTACTGACTTCAAATCATAGTCATGTAAAAACATTTCTGACTTAATATATGTCTGTCATAAGTCACTGCACAAGAGTCTGTACACAAAGTAATAGAATTTATCTGGGTTGAGATGATCCTTATGTAGACAAAAATATGAGTTTTACATCATCATTTGACTAAGTGATCTTTATTCTATTCCTCTATGTTAGTTGGTTTGAACTTCAGAGAAGAAATATGTATTTTCTTTTAACTTCTTTATAGTGCAAATCACACTTGCACATTTGTGTGGAAAGACATCACTGTCAACTCCAAGTAGAGCAATCTTTATGAGGACACCCAGTAAGAGAAGCTTTATAGAGATCTGTAACAGTTGCATCATTTTACAGCTAATGTAGGGCTATAGCCACTTCTTCGCAGCAGGTGCAAAAGGGGATGATCGTCAACCGGTAGTAATAAATGGTCATAAACAGAAACAAGCTAGTTGCTGATGTTACAAACTATTCTTGGGCAATATAAAGGGTCTAAGGTAGAAAAGTCTGCCATTTGCTCTACATAAAAACTGTTTTGTAATTCATAGAAAGACAGTTTTATTTTAAAAGGAATCACACCTAAGAACAAGCAATTTTAGAAAATAATTTTTATTTGTACAGTCCATTACGAAATTGTTCTCGACAAACGACAACATTTTACCATAGTAAAAACAATTTACTAGCAGATTTTTCAACATTCATCTCAGGCCTCAACTTGTAATTTTTTCAAAGAGCTTGCTCATTCATTATCTGATGTCTGAGATGAATATTAAAGAAGCTGCGAGTAAATTGTTTTTTACAGGTCCATTGTGTACTTGGAAATGGTTGCACAATCAACCAAAATGATGTCCAAATATACATTTTCTAAAATCATCCACTGTAAGCTGTGATACCTTCTAACTTCATATCTGCAGTAAGAAAAATTAAATTTAAATAATCATATATTGCTGTATAATGTGATAACTTCATCACAACCAAGTCAATGGAGCGGTTAAGATTTTAAAGTTTTTTTTAACCAGAATCTTCAAAGAGGTTTTAATACTTGAAAAATTCAATACTGAAGTTTTTTATAACCAGAAGAACAAAAAATATACCTTCAGTAATTTGTAGGTAATGATTTAAGAACTGTATAAATGGAACAAACAGAAGTTTCAGACCAAGTAATCTTCTGATAAAAATACATCTTTGTAAACACACAGCAATACTTTACCCATACAATGAAGCTGTATTAGAAAAGTAGATGTGTACAGTATTAGCAAGATGTTATTGAATGTAAGTGTACAATATCAAACTTTCAACCATGTCTATGAACCAAGTTAACTATACTGACCAAGCATCATATGTGTAGGAACTAGACATTTAATGAATTGACTATACTAGAACAAAGAATACAGATGTGAAGGTGTTTCCTAAAGTCAATCATATAATTTCAGTTATTGAAGTTCATAGTCTATCAATAAAAATGTCATGTTACGAAATCTTTTACATTCTTCAGCTCAAAGAAAGGGGCATGTAACAGCTATCAACATTCAAAGCGAATTGTGCTAAATAACAAAAATCTATAAAAAAAGTACAAATATAAAGCTAACAATGATTCATCAGTTGAAGAATGCCCAATTTCTCACCTATGTACTGGTGAATTGTTTTCAGACTCAACCGTAACTGTTGATGATAAAGTAGTCACTCAGCAATAAGACAACCAGTGTTCTTATTGAAAGAATGACACATAAGAGGATAACATAGTGATATATAAATGTGCTTTGCTTGAAGAGATTGTTTAATCCTCTTACAAAGTGTCACAATATAAGAGACTGTCATTGATTTGTTGTGTTTTGTGATCATTGTAATATTATTTCATTTTTGTTTAGTTTGTGATGATGTATTTTGCATTTGTGACTCATTGTTGTCAAGATTGTAGAGTGGCACGTGGGAACTGATAGTGAAGGGGTGGTGGCGAACAGACGATGGGACAAAAGGTATAAAGTGGGCCAGTGGAGCAGAAAGAGAGCAGAGTGCAGCAAAGCCATGGACAAGGCAAGGTTTATGTGTATGCTGATGTATTTGTGTGTATTTAGTTCAGAATTGTTGATATTGAAACAAGTATAGTGCGTGCTGTTCATTCAATGTGACCTTTACCGTCAACAAGTCACAGACACCTACTGTATAAGAATCCATAAAAACAAAACCTGACACAAAGTGGGAAGTACAGAAATGAACTTGCTCTGAAATCACTAAAGGCAAAGTGCTTCCTTGCTCAGTGTTTTAGTTAGCTTTGCAAAAGAGACAAAACTTCAATAAGATGACAACTACTGATGAAATACTGCAAAATAGGAGCCATTCTGTTGAATCTATTTAAAGAAAGTCCACCTTTCAAAAGCTTTTAAGAGGGAACTGAAAGTGAAAGAGGAAAAATATTACAAATCAAAAGATTGTAACACACATTAAATTGAACCATGGTTGTTGTATTCGATATACTCTATATTAATTATTGCGAGCACTTCTTAAAAGGTAGTGCTATCAAGTGTTTATTAGTTTGGAAGTAATATAAAGTTTAATTTTAAACTGTTGAGCATGACATATTTCCTTGTAATTACAAACAAGCTTTTTTTCCTTTCATTTAAGTAACATTTTGGTTTCTAAAGTTGTTATATCATTTCTCTGTATTGGATCATTACAAGAATGCCATGAAGTGGATACAAAGATGTTATAGAGTAAAAAAAAATCTTCCTAAGACATTATATGACATATCTACACATTAGTTTTTTTCCCAGCATGTTAGGGGGGAATAACAGTACAGGATAAGAGAAGTAAAATATGTCGTCAACTTACGTTGCAGGTTCTCTAAATAGTGAAGCTTTTGTAGAGCTGTATCTGCTTTATGATCTGTAGCTGCCTGAGCAGTTTCTAACTGAGAATACTGGGTTAACAGATGGTCGCAACTGTCTTGTAGTATCTATGAGAGAAAACATTCAAGTCATTGTTGACAAGATACAATTCTGAACTGCATTTGTACACAATGAAACTCCTTTACATTAAACAATATGATTCTGCACTCACATTTTACGTTTTTGATTAATCAGATAGTTAGTGTTTGGATTCCGACTTAACAAAAAAAATGAACTAATAAGTTTTAGATTATAACTACAAATAATGTTGTTGCTGGGATGAACTATATAGAAAAACAAGATCACAACATTCATGAATACTCTTAGTGTGGCTAAATTTATTATAATCTCTTAAATCTATCAAGTAACGACATAAATTTCAAATATGATGCTACTCAATTTCATAGACTTTGTGTGTGTCATACAACTGCAGGAATATATTTTGCTTAAAGAACAGCGTTTCAAATCCATAAGTATTTTTAATGTGTAGACTCGGATTGAGTGCTTTCTTGTACAAGTACCTTCAGCTCTTCTTTGTGATCCTGTAGCAAGCTGCTTAAGGTTAAATTAAGTAGGTGGTCTACAATATCTGTGGCATTGCCATACTGGATCAACTGTTGGCTGTCCATAGGGCCTTTCAACTGCACAAAACAAAAACAAATAAGAAAACTAACAGTTCCATGGCAATAATACAAGCAAAATATCTTGTACAATAAATAATTTCCCAATAAATGTTTTTACACATTAAACCATTGCTTGAATTCCAGTTAAACCTAACCACAAGTCTAGAATCATTGGTGTCATCCATTTATACATTCAGGCTTTGAAAGTGTACACCTAAAATCATTGGTATCATCCATTTATACATTCAGGCTTTGAAAGTGTACACCTAAAATCATTGGTGTCATCCATTTATACACCTAGGCTTTAAAAGAGTACACCTAAAATCATGACACCAATGATTTTAGGTGTATACTTTCAAAGCCTAGGTGTATAAATAGATGATACCAATGACTGTAGGTGTACACTTTCAAAACATAGGTGTATAAATGGATGACACCAATGATTTTAGGTGTATACTTTCAAAGCCTAGGTGTATTAATAGATGATACCAATGACTGTAGGTGTACACTTTCAAAACATAGGTGTATAAATGGATAATACTGATCCATTTATACACCTATGTTTTGAAAGTGTACACCTACAGTCATTGGTATCATCTATTTATACACCTAGGCTGTGAAAGTATACACCTAAAATCATTGGTGTCATCCATTTATACACCTATGTTTTGAAAGTGTACACCTACAGTCACTGGTATCATCTACTTATACATTCAGGCTTTGAAAGTGTACAAATAATGACATAAAACTTACAACACTCCCACACTCAAGTGTTTATTTAAATGACTTACATGGCCTGCTGAGTAATTTAAGTCACAATGAAGAAGAAACAGATTTCAATACATTCATGACTGTTTTATATTGAAAGGACTGAAACAATTAGAAAATCTACATATTAAAATCCATCTAACCATTGTAAGTTATATGGAAATAGAAATAACTGAAATACCCATTCAATTTATGCAAACTACTCAGGTATAGATTGACGTCGATTATGACGAAACCTCATATAAATATTTCTTTAAGACCTACCCAAATGCTTTCATTAAAAGTAAAATTGGAAAATGTAGATTTATAGATCACAAAAGTTACTGTATTTTAGATATTTTTGAAGCATAATTATGAAAATTTGAGAATGAAAAAATAAAAAAAAGAATCTATAATTTATTTCTAGTTTTGTGAAATATGTCAGTTCTTTACTAAAATTAACTACAGAGGATGAAACTTGAGGCAGCAATTTAAATTTTAAAACTTTACAGTTATATATAAAAATGTTATTTAAAGAGCAATTATAGATCTATGTCTATTTTTTCATACTTTATAAAGTTAAGATACAATATAATGCTTGGAGACGGCTTGAATGGGTAGTGAAGAAAAACTTTAATATAAGTTTAACATAACAGCAAATGTTCAATGTTTCGACAAGGTTTTGTCACATATTAGTTTCAAAGTGGGTTCCCTGTCATCGAATAAGATACAATATTCTAGATAAAATACCTTGTCAGAAACTTAAGTGGCTTTAGTATGAACTTCTGTGTGATTCATATCAGTTTCACATAGATAGATCATTTGTATACAATAAAAATATTAAAACTTGAGGAACCTTTACATAAAAATTAGGAAATTGTCTTAGTCTTCCACAGCATTTCTGACAAACTTTACCAGAGATTAATAAATAAGGACTGAACAAAGCTTTAAACAAAAATCAGAAAAAAATGTAATATCAAAGAATAGAAAATGAACATAATTGCATGCCCCGAGACAACAGGATGAAAACTTCCACTCACATACAGTACATAAGAAAGGGACGTTTAATAAATATTTCAAAATAAATTTACTAAAAATTCAAATGAAGTACAGTGGTTGTTCTGAACATCAGTGAATGATTCTTAACCTCCTGTGAAAACAAATAAAAATATCTTTCTTGAAACATTAACACATTTAACTAAAACTTGTTTGAAAAGAAGGCTATAAAACTGTTATAAGCAAAACATGAAACATGAGTAATGTTAATGGAGGATAGTAGTGTTTGCTACCTGCTGAATCAGTTCTAAATACATGTGAACCATATCTTGGGCTTGCTTCAACATTTCTAGAAATGTAACGTTGGTGTTGCTTGAAGCTCCAACAGACAGGGTGTTATTTAACATGTCACCAACAGCTTGGTCAACCTGCACAAAGGCAATCAACCATTTTCACTTTTAATTATTTGTTTACACTTGTCATGTTACAAACAGATGCTACACTGTATCACGTCATAATGCTATCACTGGAAGATCATAAAAGAAAACTGAATCACTTACAACCACTTCTAAAATTCTAGATGGATTATATTATATTTAAAACAAACATGAATAAAAGCAAAACATTTATTACAGTACAATCTTTTCATGCACTGACTGAAATAACTCTCGCTACATTGACACTAATAAATTTCTAAAGTTTATGTGGAAAAACTGAATCTATTTTAATAATCAATAAGAATTAAAATTCATTTCAAACACAAAATATACCTGGAAATTTATTACACAAAGTCTCCTCAAATACTATTTTTATCATAACTGTTACTGCATGGCACTAGTTCTGTGGTGACTGTTACTGCATGGCACTAGTTCTGTGGTGACTGTTACTGCATGGCACTAGTTCTGTGGTGACTGTTACTGCATGGCGCTAGTTCTGTGGTGACTGTTACTGCATTGCACTAGTACTATGGTGACTGTTACTGCATGGCACTAGTACTATGGTGACTGTTACTGCATTGCACTAGTACTATGTTGACTGTTACTGCATGGCACTAGTACTATGGTGACTGTTACTGCATTGCACTAGTACTATGTTGACTGTTACTGCATGGCACTAGTTCTATGGTGACTGTTACTGCATGGCACTAATTCTATGGTGACTGTTACTGCATGGCACTAATTCTATGGTGACTGTTACTGCATGGTACTAATTCTATGGTGACTATTACTGCATGGCACTAGTTCTATCGGATAACAGCCAATAACAGTGTAAATTATCAACATACAACTGTATTCTGGTTCATCTAATTTCCAAACAAAAAGTGAAGGTAATTCCATATTTGCATTTAATACAAATTTTATTCACTTTTTCTATATTTATTTCCAATACAGCATATAAACTTGACCATCCTTGAGCTACATCATAAGTTTCCTGAATTCACTTTATCTGCTCTTAATGTAAACTTGACTATACTTGAGCTACATCATAACTTTAGCGATGTTTAGGATTCTGAATTCACTTTAATTGCTCTGATAATAAACTTGATGATCCTTAAGCGACATCATAACTTTCTTCATGTTTAGAAAGTATAATATGCGAATTGTATAACTTTCATTAACCTTCATGGATGAATGCACTTATCTGAAAAATGTATGCCAAGGGCTTATCTTTAGTAATATTAGGCTTAAAGAGTGAGCCAGTTAGGCTTAATCAAGACTGAGTTGTTTTTTTAGCCACATTTCTAACAGCCCAAACAACTTTCTGTAGCATTTTTAAAATTGCTGTGTGTTTATGTAACAGACTGGAAAGTAATATGCTGCTTTTTATAAAGCATTAAGACCAGATTTATTATTATACTTACTGAAACCTTCACAATGTGCTGTATAACATTTTGATCCAATTGAGGAACTCTCAGCTGTTCCAGAGTGATTTCTATTGTTCTCTGTTTAGATGCAAGGACCAATATCTGACCAGTGATGTTGTTGTATATGTAGTCCTTCAGTTTCTTTATTTCAGACTAGAAATGGAATTGCTATTAAATTACACTTGTCATACGACATTAGTACTAGGCCTATTGCATTTTTAAGTACTACATTCTTTATTTAGTTCCTTAGAGATTTTCATGAATTAAAAAGAGTGTATAACAATAGTATTCTAATCATACTATATCTGTCACATCCATTGCTGGTGACACATTTCACTCAATCCTGAGCTCTTCATGCCGATTGAGATGCAACAAACACACTAATGATTAAAATCCTTTTTATAAGCTATTTGATACAACAAAACTGTTATGGTGTGTAAAAGAGCTATTAAATGCTTACATAAACAAACTGAAATTGAACTTACATGGGACAAAACAAACCTTAACTTATTATAATTTTCATGCACTATTTATAACTTCGCAAAAGTAATAAAAGCTATAAATTTAAGTATTCTGTTCATATTTTATAAAGCTGCTTTACATGCACTTTCTCAACAACTAAAAATATGGTAGAATTATTATGAATGAAATTAGAAGAAAAACAAAAGAACATCCCATTATTTTAAGTGTTTCTATACCTGACAAGATAATATAGTCTTGAAGATGAACTTGGTATTGCCTTACAAACACATTATTTAAAGTTACAGTTTATATTTAAATACATCTATAAACAAAATAACAAATAATTTATAGTAATTCAAATGATCAAAAAATTTCAGTGATAAAAATAGGCATGTCATAAAAGGAGAAACTTCACCACACGATTGTACTAAAAACAACAATAAATACATGAAGTAATTACCCCTCTCATGCCAGTTACACAATCATTCACTTACTAAATTCAAACATTACAGTATTTTAGAATAAAAACAACAATAAATACATGAAGTAATTACCCCTCTCATGCCAGTTACACAATCATTCACTTACTAAATTCAAACATTACAGTATTTTAGAATAAAAACAACAATAAATACATGAAGTAATTACCCCTCTCATGCCAGTTACACAATCATTCACTTACTAAATACAAACATTACAGTATTTTAGAATAAGACTCAAATTGCTCAATTATTTTGTATTTTTTTACAAAAGGTAGAATAAACCGTGCAAGATATGATCTGTGTTTGAAGAGCAGAAATATAAATTACTTCTCTCTCAAACATTTTCTGATAAACACAATTGCTGTGTTTTGTTTGTAGCTACACAATGGGTTCCCTTTGCTGTTGCAACCACGGGTAGTGAAACCTAGTTGATCACCACTGAGCCAGTAGGGGGGCAACACAGTTATTAACAGCAGCAGCTCTGTGAACTTGGTTGTAAGAGATTACAAGACTAATACTTCTTCAACAATAGGTAATAACATTTTGTGATACAAGCTAAAACATTGCTACATGTTTATAATGTACAAGTATTCTCACTAGGATAAGGAACTTGGTAGATTTTACTCGTTAATCATAGCAAAGTTTAGAAACCCAAGAGAAACAACAAATGGGTAATGTGTTAAGTTACATCTGGATTAATCCTTCCCCAAACTCGCAAGTCTTTAAGTAGGTTTTAATCAGAAGGAATCAGATAATAAGAAAAAAAAAGGAAGAAGTATTAATCCACTTTTTCATGCCAGTAGTTTACTTGGTCAACCCTTGAGTGGGCTTCACCAAAAGTGCTACTTAACACAAACTGTAAGAACTGCTTGCATAAAACTCAATTTCTAAATATTTCTAGAAATGTTTGTGGAACAAATTCACATTTTGTATTTACAAGCACTATACACACAAAGAAAGATTATTTTCATGTTTTTCTCTTCTTTACCCATATATTACCCAAACACTTGTATAATCAGTACACAGTACTATCAAGATAAATAACTGAATTTATTTTTTTTCTTTTCAATAATTATGAAGCTACTATATTTCCATATGCTCACTAAACAATAACATGTATTGAAAAACATTTGTAATTAAATAATAAACAACCATTTTCACTAACTGTTTAGTTTCCAATCACATTAGGTCAAAGTGGTCCCTTAAACTATCTTAAGGATCGCATCCCTCTGACTCCATTAACCCTTTTGCAATGGGCCACTGTAATTTCCAGGGGCCTTATACGAAATCCACTTGTGCAACAATACATGCTGTAACTGAGATTTCTTAACATATCCTCACAAAAACTGGTAAAATTTTGTTAAAGACAAAAAGTATCTTTAATATAAAGATGACATTATTTTAATTAAATGTTTCTACTGAAAATATGTTATTTAACTATTATAGTTATTTGCACACAAACTGTTAATAGTTTGAGTGCAAGGTGATTTTCATTTTAAGTAAAAAATACTTTCTTTATCTTATAGTTACATATTTCATTTGCATAACCTATAGAACCTCCTAAAAGGATATCAAAAGTTTTTTAAGGTAAATGCTTATATTTTAGTTTTCATTTTCTCTATAATATCATAACTGTAGATATTATCATCAACATACAGTGCAATGAAATGTTTAAAATTAAGAAATATAAAACATGTACATACCTTTTAATTCTTCATACAATATCTTAAAAGATCTTTGGGTTATATTCATAATTTCAGGTCTTTTCCTTTTCACATATAATTAATTTTTAATGTTTTATATTCCTTTACCTTTAATTACTCATCTCAGCACAAGTCAGTGGTGCCCTTGGGGCATAATTACAGTATCTTCAGTAGAAATGTGCAAGCCTTTGGCAAAATTATCTTAAGCCTTGAGAACTGAGGCAAAGTATGATGCATGTTTAAAAAATGTTTAAACCTTTCAATTATGCATTTTAAAGCATAAATAATACATAATTAACTATGATATGAAATTAGCACCTAAATACAATTTAGCTATCTCTATAACTATAATATATTTAGGTAAGAAACAACTGTAAGTGCTATCAGAGATAAAGCAGCCAACAATACTACAGGCAATTACTGCATGCCAATTTCAAACTAACAGTTGTTGACTTATAGTGTAAAATGAGCCCTTTCTAATGACTATATACATGTATATGTATCAACTACATGTATATTATACAGCTCAAGCAAAAGTATGGAAGGTGGACATGGCACCCATCAGGGGTTGACAAAATTTATCACTTGTTTCTACTCCATTCAACTTGAGGACTCTGAAATTTATGTGTCAATAGGAGCAGTTAACATAATTATCTAGACATTCATCTACAGGACTGACATTATACGACAGGAATTGTGAAAGTTGATATTTTTCACAGCTTGTGGGTCACATGACAACATAAAACTAAAGTATTTTTTTTTAAAGGTTTCTTTTAAAATAAATGAATTTAAACTTAGATAACATAAAACATTGAATTATAATACACATATTGCAATGTTAATTTCATTCACATACATTGGTAGTAAAGGTATTTAATCAAATTTTGAAAGTAACTCAGTGACTTGTGCAGAAAAGTGTTTAAAGGGGTACCCATCGAGAATGGGTTAAACAGTAAAGAAAAGTTTTCACTTACACTTTAGTTTCCAGTCACATTAAATACAAGTGATCTCTCAAGTCATCTTTGTGAAAGTTTCTTTCTGACCCAATTATATATAGATATATATACAAAGTTTTCACTCACACTAAGTAATCTGTCAAGCCATCTTTAGGCTTCTTTCTGACAACGTTTTTTAGTTTGAAAAATGTACAGGTCAAAAACAATAAAAGTAGACATCTAACACAACCTGTAATAAGGTATATGATGCTACACGAAAGATAACATACCAGGAAAATCTAAATAGATTGTTCATGCCCTAACAACGAAAGTTTTAAATCAATTTCTGAATGGATTCAATGTGAGAAATGAACTGACACAGTCAAGTGAACTGTACACAATTTCTTTCTTTGTCCAGTGCGTTTCACAAAGGTACGCTACAGAACACAGTACAAATTATTTCTGTTTGCTTCAGAATATTGTTTTTTCATCATAGAAAAAAACCTGATCATTGAAACCTCTTCTAAATTAGTAAAGAAAAAGCAAATACATAGTTTTTACAATTCAACTATGCATAAAAACAAGAAAAATAAAGTTTCTTAAACTTCTTACTTCCCTCAAAAAACATTTTTCTACAAAAGGTATATGTGCTTTTTAATGCATACGCTGTAAATTGTGACACAAAAATAAATATATCTATAGCTTTTCTATTTAATTTTGAACATAAAATGGTAATTTTTCTCCAAGTTTGACATTCCAAACTATCAGGACCACACAGGTTTTTTTTCATTTTTCAATTTTCAAGTGCTTTGAAAATGTAATTTGTTGGAAAGTTAATTTAAGACTACAATCACAGTATTTACATGGGATTTACTCAAGTCTTCTACAGTCCAGCTTGTATTTCCATTAATGTTCTCCAGAAGAGGTAATGCCTCATTAACTTTCAATACAACTGGCAATGTTGTATCATTCAAGATGTCAACAGCATCTGCAACCCTCAACAGCTCCTGGAAAATAAAAAAGAGAGAGAGAGAGAGAGAATACTTATCAGATTATTAGGGGTTTCAAATGAAGATTTTATTTCTTTTAACTTCTATCTGGTGAATGTACACTACTGCAACTAAATAAATACTTGTGTTTTCCCATTTTGACAAGCTGTGTGGGTCTCGCAAGCAAACAGTTAGTTCTTATGTGCTTTCTAAGTAAATACTTCATTGATTTGTATTCATAGCTTGTTTCATTAAATCACATTGGTTATAATATTTATCATAATTTTTGAAATTATTTTGAATTTATAAGTCATGTGGTCTGAAGAACCAATAATTGGAGTTTCTATGCAATTTGTAAATAATATGCTACTTTCTTGAAATCATATTGGTTATATAGGGCCTAGTGGTTAGGGCATTCAACTCCCAGGTTGCAGGATTGAAACCTGTCACTGAACATGTTTGCCCTTTCAGCTATGGGGACATTATAATATGATGATCAATCCCATTATTCATTTGCTAAGAATAATAGAAAAGTTAGCAGTGGGTGGCAGTGACTAGCTATTTCCTTCAAGCCTATATCTTCAAAATTAAAGACAGATATCACTCAAGTAATTCTGCAAAATTCAACAAACATACTGGTTATGATACTGATGTTAATTTTTAATAATTTATTAGATTACTTCTCAAAGTTACAAATATTTTTTCTGCACTGTTACCATATTATATGGATCTAGATTAACCTAAATCTACCAAGCTGGCTTAACATTGAGATATTATTGTTTAATGATACCCACCTGATGATTTAATCCACTCTAATCAGTACAGATTATAGCTTTTGTGTATATATACCTATTACAATAAGTACTTCTAAATCCACTTATTATATAGAATTTGCTTTATTAATTTATGTATTTACTTTAGATTGGAAGTTCTTATTAATGTTAAATGTTTTTATACTGGGTCGGGAAATCTGCAGTGGGCTCAGTAATGACACTTGTTTGTCATCATCACTTAAAGATTTGAGAAATTATAAACCTGCAAATAGGGATCATTTGTTTGTTTGTTATGGATTTCACGTAAAGCTACACGAGGGCTATCTGCACTAGCCGTCCTTAATTTAGCAGTGCAAGACTAGAGGGAATGCAGCTAGTCATCACCACCCACCGTCAACTCTTGGGCTACTCTTTTACCAACAAATAATGGGATTGATGTTTGGTGTGACGGGTTTCACACCCGTGACCCGCAGAATGTGAGTCAAGCGTCCTAATCACCTGGCCAATAGGGACCGTAACAAAAGTAACAAAACAAGGTTGGAGATACTGTAGACATTATTTACTCAAACTACAGATTGCTATTTTGGCTCCATGCTGTTATCTAGAATTACATTTGGTGGAGTTGAAATAGGTTTTTAAATCCTCAATTTTTTTTTTATTTATCTTGTTTTAAAGAGACAAAGAGACTAGAATTAGACACACCTAAATCTAAGGACAAAACTTTTTTCTAAAAGATTTGTTTCATGTGTGTTTATCCTCCATTTGGAAAACATCTTATTCCTTAAACCAAACCAAAACAAAAATAAGGATTTTATCAAGCTTTTTTTGAACGTGATTTTCTTTTCTTTCCCAGTTGTTGTTAATTTTAAAATATTGATCCGAATCTGATTTATATGCATTACATCAGTTCTGCAATACTAACAAATACAGAAAAAATCCCCATTACAAAGGAGGTTATGAGAATCCATCTATCTTCACATACATTGATTTTTTTATTTTAAAAATAAAGAAATGAACAACTGTAGAATAATTTACATCACGTAAGATCTGTTGTCCTTCCATGAGTTTAGTAGTTTGGAGTTTATCAGCTGGATGTGACAGCTTTTCTGTTTTGTTTGATAAGTCTTGAAATTGAGCCTAGAGATAAAAACAAAATTATTATGTATGTTATTCATTAATATGATAAAAGCTATTTTCAATACCAAGTCTTATGTTCCATTTAACTACATTATATTTTTTGTATCTCAATTTTAAGAATTTGTTAAGATCTCCAAAGAAAAACATTTTTTCTATTTCAATGGATCTATTTTACCGGGAATAGACTTTTCAAACACTTTTAACAATTAAATGTACAGTGAAGAGAAAAATAAGTTATTTAAATTTTTGGAATTATGGATCAACCTAATTAAATACGATAGCCTCTACTTGTGCAAAAAACAAATAATTTTGTGACAAATAAGTGACACATACATGACTCTTGGCAAATATCACAACATACTAACATTTATCAATTGTTAAAAAATGACTATGTTAAAAAAGCGACCTTTTATTCTATCCCACTCATCCCAACAAAATTAACTTTGAGAAACACTAACCCTAATATTTATAGATCAATGATATGTATAGCATCTCATTTCACACTAGTCATCTGTGACACTTATAAATGTAGAACATGATGATGATGCAACTTCTTCATCAACAAAAATAACAAACGTTAATATTAAAGAAATATCTAGTAGTAATCAAATGTTAGAACATGATGTAGTATCCAGTAGTTAGAAATATCCAATAGTTATCAAATGTTACAACATGATGTAGTATTCAGTAGTTAGAAATATCCAGTAGTAATCAAATGTTACAACATGATGCATTATTCAGTAGTTAGAAATATCCAGTAGTAATCAAATGTTAGAACATGATGCAGTATTCAGTAATTATAAATATCCAGTAGTAATCAAATGTTAGAACATGATGCAGCATGCAGTAGTTAGAACATCTGTATACATATTTGTATTATAAAAAAATGATTTACCTCATCAAAAAGCAAATTAAGCTGCCTTATATATTTAGCCAATATCAATTCTGCTACTCAGTAGTAATTAAATGTCAGCTGGTGGTTAAGACATCTTAATACATTTCTAATATACTAAGAATTATTTAAACCATTAAAAAGGATAAGGTATTTTTGCTTTTTTTTAAATAAATTCAATGAGTAATTACTTGGTTATAACTGGTAAGAGTATTATGAAATTGTAGAATACAGCTTAAAAGGCTTGATTAGCATTCAACCGGCACCACTAACAGAAAACATTCAAACCTCAAGGTTGGAGATTGTTTGTGTTATCCCTCCTTGAGAACTCTGGATAGAAGATTGCTGGCTCTTAACATCCTTCACTGTGGCCTCCATGGCAGTAATTCTGCTTCCAAAACTAGCTACATTCTGTTTATTTGGAGAAAATAAAAGTTGTGTAGTACACACTGAAATATTGATACTACTAATGGTAACTACAAAAAATGTAGTTTTGTTTTGTGTCTTATTTAGGAATAGCTGACTATGGATACAGTTGCAACAATAATATAATACAGAACTATACATTTATTTATGACAATATAAAGAGGAAATGGTGTATTAACATATGAATTAAAATCTGTGAGCAATTAAATATAAGGATAATTCAGAAATACAATAACAACAATAGTCATTGTCTGGTAAGACTTACATTCAGCATAGTAATTATTAAAATCAGAGCTTGCTTACTATAAAAGATGCTGTTATTTTTGAATTAATTGTTTAGTTCAGTAGGTTCCTTCCTAAACATTACAGGTAAGGTTGTTTCAAAACATTGTTACGTAAGTTACTAGAAAATAATTTTTGATCAACAAAAAAGTTAACATTACTATGTTTTGTACTTAAGGTAGTTGTTATACATACAAGTTAAAACTGAAATTAGCTGAATTGGTCAGCACGCTATCAAAGAAGTAAATATGAGAAATTACGTTCAGATAGGTGGCCACCACCTATACCTTCTTCCAACATTAACGGAGTTTGCTGGCCCTGGTTATGGATTACTGTACTTCAGCCCAATTTTCACTACTTTTGCACTGAGGTTAATATTTTTTCCCTCCTAGTCACATACTCTTCAAAGTCCATAAACCAGGCACTGACACTGGCTTCTGAGCATAGAATTCCAATGGATATCTCTGTGAGGTCAATCTGAGTAATCCAAAGGCATAGCATGACTTTCTGTTTGGACTGACATCTTGTGGAGGAACTGACATGTCAACTTGGATGTGTAGGTAGATGGCCTATCTCAATATCCAATCCACACAAAGATGATACTTCCTCGGAGTATAGTGACATCACCATATTACTCTGATATTATGTAGAGTTCACCTTAGTGTTTTGTTTCTTTAACTCTGTATTTTTAACCTATTATAGTTTTAACCTGCAGCCAACATAGACAATTTGTAAAATAAGCTATGTACCTATTTTGAAATGTTGTACCACTGTTACAATAATGATATCAAAAATGCCAAAACTTTTCCAAACACTTATGTAGACATATGTTTCATCAAATATAATGATATACACAGCGTGGTCACAAGTAAATAGACACCACCTTTTCAGAAAAAATGAAAATTTTCAGTCAAATTCACATGAATTGATATATTTATAATTTAATTAATATCCAGTAGATCTTCCTTTCGCTTTGTGGAGTTCGTTGATCCTTTGGGGCATCGTGAGAATCATCTCGTCAATTTTAGATTGTGGGATTTTCAACCACTCTTACTTCAAAACTTGGAGTACATCGCTCTTCGAAGTTGGTTTTTTTGGTTGTTTCTTGACTTGCTGGTCGAGTATGGCCCAGAGGTTTTCGATGGGGTTCATGTCAGGAGACTGGCTCAGACAGGGCAAATTCTGGATACCATTTTTATTCCTGCCACTTTTGGGTGTTTCTAGCAGTGTGACACGGAGCTCCATCTTCCTGGAACAACGTTGTGTTCTTGTCCACAAAACCCGAGGAATAAAGTGGCAAGAGTCCTTCCT